TAGTACAAGATTCAGTACTACAGACTGGCTTTAGTATTCCGACTTGAAATGACACTCTTGCAATCAACATGAATCCAACCAAGAGGGGTTTCTCCGATGGTAAGTAACCTCCAGTTCCAACCAAGAGGTTGTGAGTTCGAGTCACCCCAAGAGCAAGGTGGGGAGTTCTTGGAGGGAAGGAAGCCGAGTTTCTATTGGAAACATTGTTTGTTGTACTTATAACTTATACCTGGATAAAGCACCAAAAGGATAAAACTACTTTAGGCGTGAGAACTCATTACCTTTTAGTTTTAAAAAATAAATAGTTACTAATTTTAAATTATATCTTGTATTTTCAATTTTAGTGCACTGCACCAAACCTGCACCCAACAAAAAATAATTTATATGCTATTAATCCCTTTATAATTAATCCCTACATAACTAAGACTTAAAATCTTGAATTTGTCTCAATCTAGAAAATGTAAGAATTCTTCTTAAGACCTAAATATGCCTCTGGAAATAAGAAGATGAAGCTCGTCTGGTTTGCTGTTTTGAAGTTTGTTTGACCAAAAAGTGTTAAACTAATTAATAAGGAAATAGAGAGTGAATCCTAGTTAAACATAATAAATTCTAGATCTAAAATTGGAAAATATCAGTGGGATGAGATCGTGTTCAAGAATAATAAATATCGAGTATATGACCAATGATTGTCAATGAATGTAGTAATAGATGCATACAATAAATGTAGATAATGACAATGAACGCAATAAGAAGGAATTTTCACCCAAATGTTAGGTGACTTGGACGATTTCCTCCCTGACAACAATGTGGGGTGATAGGAAATGAAGATGGATAAGGAAACTTTGGATCTTGTGAATGAACAACGTAAATCGAACAATATAATAGTGAACAAGCTTTTGTATATTCTCCTCAGTCAACCCTTTACAAAGTGTTCTTATCAAAAGATGAAGATCCCCTTTTTGTTTTTTATCTCTTCCTATTTATAGGGGATATTCTTGAGAAATCCTAAAAAAGTACAACAAAAAGGATATTCAATGGAATATTCCTTCTTTCTATCTAACTTATCCTATCGTTATTTTCATACCCCTTTGCTCGGTTTCGGCACTAATCTTTCTTAAGACGACTTTTCGCCTTCATGCCGTGGTTGACTTAATTCTCGACCATGTCCATTTACAGCTATTAAGTCCAATCCAAATTTTGACCAATACAAAGTTGACTTGTACATTTCCTAATTTCTTGAGCCTCTTCATTTCCGCTTTTTTTTTTTAGCTGGTTCCAAGTGTGACAATTTATTACATTTAATTATAGTGAATTTAGACCAAATCCGTCGGATACGAGCTCACTCTAAATAGAGCAATAGTGATACGGGAATTTAACTAATTTAATGCGGACTTGGTTGATTGACATTTGACAGTTAATCTGAGTTATTATCTAACTTTTTTTTTTCATTAATGGACAGCATTTGCCCTTTGTTAATCCCACTTCTTTTACATTGTTGACTGGTGATAAAAAAACTCAATATTTGATCTTAGGAACTTAAACATAATATTAAATTTATTTAAGCTACCAACAAGGGCTATGGTGGAGTGGTAGGTACTCTTTAATCATTAACCAGAAGTTTTGGATTCGAGGCCCTAGGTATGGAGTCGTCTTTGGTAGGAAACGTTTTATCCCAATGCGGGTCTTCCCGGCGCGAAAACCAAAAAAAAATAAAATTATTTAAGCTGCCTAGACAGTTTAGGGGTCGTTTGGTTTGAATACGGCTTATGCTGGGTTTAGTTATCTTGGTATTATTTTTTATCCACTATTTGGTATGTTGTATTAAAAATGACAATGAGATTAGTTATCTTGGTATTGTTTTTAATCCACTGTTTGGTATATTGTATTAAAAATGACAATTGCATAATTTTTAAGGAGAAGATATAAGTTATCCCGGTACTAATTACCCCACCCCCTACAAGGTATAAGTTATCTCTATGGCTGCTTATCGGGCGGATTGTGCGGTTATTTACTCTTAACGGTTTGACTTATCAGTTATCGACTTTTAAATGTATTAATCCGTTAGTCACCCGTTAAGATATCAGGCGGATTGATATCGGTTTAGATCTTATCGGACGATTATCGGGCGGTTTATCGGCCTAATTCAATCAAAATAAAATAAAATTTAGTCTCTGTATATTTAAATAGGTGGTCGACGTACTAAGAGAGACAAAGCAGACGAGACACCGTGATGGGTAAATTATCTGTCTAGAATCTTATTTATGTTTATGCACCAGGGCTAGGTATATATCGGGTAAAACCGATAACCCGAACCGTCAATTTTTTATTGGGTTATCGATATCAGGTTATTGGGTTAACGGTTCGGTAACGGTTTAAAATTTTTTTGCTATTGGGTTATCGGTTTGGGCCTCGGTTTGCCAATTTTGTTAATGGGTTAACTGATAACCCAATAAGAATTAATAAAATTACGACTTTATCCTTAAGTATATATAAATGCTAGGGTTTCAGTTCATTCTCTCCTATTCTTTCTCAACCCCACTCTTCAGTTGCTTCATCTTCATTCTTCATAGACCTTACTAGTTACTCCTAGCGTAAGTCTTTACTATGCTATATGTTAATTCTTCTCCTTTTTACTTAACTCTGGTGAATTGTCTTTTCTTTTTTGCTTAACTCTTGATTGAGTTATCTTATCGGGTAAACCGATAACCGAACCGATAATGATCGATAACCAATTAACCGATACCCGATAACCGATATCTTATCGGTCGGTTATTGGTTTATCAAATTTGTAAACCGATAACCGATATGCTAAACCGATAATATTCATAACCAAATCGAACCGACCGATGCCCACCCCTATTATGCACATTGGCCTTAGTCCATGTGAAAGATTTTCAATTGGCCGTTGTTAAAATAAATGTTCGTCATGCTTAGAATTCTAGGATGCTTTAAAACCCAGGCAAAGTTGATGAAGAAGTGGTGTAGCTGGTGTTGTTATCTTGTTTCAGATAATAAATTACGTCTTTTGTCACAATTAGATGTATTTGGCTTTCTTTTATTCTAATTCACTTTGATAGAGTACCGGAGGAAGAAGGGTTTTTGATTATTTAATATATACTAGTAGTCGTACTCGTTCGATGCGCGGTCAATATTAAAAAAAATATTAATTAAATTAAATTATGACCAGGCTTGTTTGATCCTATTAGATCGTATTGCTTTAATAAAATTCAATTGTCATCTTGTTTGTCAATACGATATACCCAATAATGAAATCTCTATTAAATCAAACGTACTTATATAGTCAGTGAATAACTTTTTTGTTCTATTTTTCTTTATTATATTAAACAATATTTAGTATTCGCTTTCTTTTTGTAATATATGAGAAGATATATAATTTATTACTATTGAATTTTTTTTATTTTAAATTTTATTCTGTTGTTCTTAATAATATTATCTAAATTTTAGTGAATAAAATCTATGTTAAACTAACGGGACTTATACAGGCAGCGCATCGAATAACAATTTTGTTATGTATTTCTCTTTATTATATCTTTCAATATTTAATACTATTACTTTGTTAATAGAAAGTTTCATTAGCATATTACGTTATTTAATATTTCTCTGAAGTTTTTTTTATTACTTTATTTTTGTTTTTTTTATTTTTAAATAATTTTAAAACTCCAACTTAAAACTACTCCCCAATTTGAATTGGTAATTTATTATTTTTTTAATTTTGTTTTTTATATTAAAATTATATTAAAACTCCAACTTGAACTACTCCCCAATTTGAATGGGTAGTTTTTTTTCTCTTTTTTTCGTTTTTTATAGCTTTTTTATTTTAAAATAATTTAAAAACTCCAACTTGAAACTACTCCCACCCAATTTGAATGGGATGTTACTTTTTTATATATTTATATTTTCATTTTCTAATTATAGTTAATTATAAGATATCTATTTTTATTTTAAAATTATTTTAAAACTCCAACTTGAAACTACTCCCAGATTTGAATGGGTAGTTTTTTTTTTATAGATTTTTTTTTGCTTTTTATTTTAAATAATTTAAAAACTCCAACTTGAAACTACTTCCACCCAATTTGAATGGGTAGTTTTTTATATTTATATTTTCGTTTTTTATATAGTTAATTATAAGATATCTATATTTATTAATTCAAATAAAGTAATCAATTAATATATATATATTTTATTTTTATTTTTTTATTATAGTTAATTATTAATATAGATATAGATAAGAAATCTATATTTATTAATTAAATTAAAATAACCAATTAATATATATATATATATATATATATATAGTAGTTTTCTTAATTATTTTCATTTTTTAGATATATTTAAATTAAAAAGAATAACCAATAACTAATTTAATAAATAATTATGCCATGTGTCATTCTATTGTTCTGCCATTTGGCTTCATGAGGTGCTTTTGTCTTCTGCTTTTAATTATAGATAGATATGGATAAGAATAAATTATAAATATATTCTTAACGGGTTAACAGATTATCCGTTAGGAAAATTGAACAATCCGTCCCCAAACCGATAAACCGTTAATAAAAAAATTTCAATCTGTTCCCCGTCTGTTAAACCATTAACCCAATTCCATTAAACTTCAGTTTCGGTTCGGTTTTCGGTTTCGGCTCAGTTTTGAACACCCCTAATTAGCTCGATACTAATTTTAATCCAGTGATAACTTATACCAGGTTTGCTAACCAAACAAAGTATTAAGGTGGTATTAAATTTTTATACCAACACTATATCTACTTATACCTCATACCAAACGACCCCTTAAAGTTTAATTATTCTTTTTGTCCTTTTTTTGTTTAATTTTGCACAAATAAAAGGATCACGTGTCAAATATTTGCTATTGCACGCAAGTTTTTCTCCTCTATTAGATAGTCCTATAGATATAAAGACTGAAAGTCGCCCCAAAGTTTCAAGAATTCAAAAGTCAAGAATCCCGTTTTCAGCTCACTCTTTAATTGGTTAGTTTCCGAGTATATAAAACCCCCAAAAAACCAACCCCAGTAACAACCCATCTTCTCCATTGATTTAGTTAGAGTCAAGCTCTAGACATAGTTTTATGCTTTGTGGCAAATGGAGAGGCCGACTTAAAAGGGTTTTCTTAGTTCCATAATATCTGAATTTTACTTCTGAATACACAATTCCCATTACTCTTTTCTTGATTCTGCAATTTTTTTTTTTACCTTGAGTGCACCATTGTTCTTTCAACATTTTCTACTGATCATTCTAATTCTCATTCAGTTCAGATTCTTTTCCGAACCAAAATGGAAGAAACACCAGAACAGAAGCATAGATGCAGGTTTTGTAACCAGAGTTGCAGTAGTGGGAGGTCATTGGGAGGTCACATGCGGGTTCATTTAGACTTGATTTCAGCAGAAAAGAAACAGAAAATTGAAGCTGAAAACAAGATGGGTTCTGAAGAAGAAGAAGAAGGTGATAATCATTTCGATAATTTGAGCATTTCAGAGCAATCTGACTGTAGCATGAGTCAAGAAAAGGGCAATAATATCAGCACTAACGATGTTGATGATATTGACTCAGTTGGTTATGGTTTAAGAGAAAATCCAAGAAAATCTTGGAGGGTTTCTGAGTTAAAGCTTAGCTCTATGAAAACGAAAAACCTCTGTAAAGAATGTGGCAAAGAATTTTCCTCTACACAAGCTCTATCAGGTCATTTAAGGACTCATTCGAAAAAAGGAACAACTGAAAAAAGTCATATTTGTGAGAAATGTGGTAAAGGTTTTGCTTCAACGAGAGCTCTTTATGGTCATATGAAAGTTCACGTGAAAAGATCAAGGGATGATCAAGAATCTGAATCATCAAAACAAAGTTTGTCTGATTTTGAGACTGTGTGTCCAATTCGGAAGAAGAGATCAAAGATAAAGTACAAGACTGATGCAAACCCTGAATCCTCTTATGCAATTAGTGAAGTTGAAGAAACGGAAGAGGCTGCTAAGACTTTGATGATGCTTTCTTGTGGTGTGAGAGACTGGGATGAATACCTTTCAATTTCAAAGCCTCTTAAAAATGAAAATGTCTCAATTCCTGAGACTAAGGCTGGCTGTTCTGATTCTGGCTGTGTTGATGGTTATGAAAAGAAGTGTGAAAATGAGGTAATAAATGATGAATTTTCAGGCAAGTTGATGATGATCAACACTGAGATTACAAGGGTCTGTTACTCTACTACCATACTGGGATTGGATAATGATCCAAGGTCGGATCTTGCTTTTCTGAATTCTTGTTCAGTCAAGAATGCAGGGGTTGATTTTCAGGTGCTGAATCCAGAGAAAAACTTTGTATCTGATATGGTCAATTCCCAGCTTGAAAGAATTGATAATAGTCCAGTTGAATTGGGAACAATTGGAGTAATGAGGACAAGTCCTGAGCCTATCAAAAGCAAGGATCACAAATGTCCAATATGTTTCAAGATTTTTCCATCAGGCCAATCTTTGGGAGGCCACAAAAGGGCTCATTATACTGGATTCAATGAAAGCAAAACTAAAGAGACTATGGTGAAAAAATTGGAGGATCTTACTGATAATCATAGAAGTTTTGATTTGAATAATCCTGTAAATGTTGTGGATGGAGGGGAAAAAGATGTTGTTGAGCTCAACCTTTGGTGGGTTGGTGGAAGTAGTTGAGATAATTCATTCTGATTTTCTGTTGAAGAGGTTTTAGAATTAGATAATTCATGATTCTTTTGCATGTTTGAAATTCATCATTGTAAAGATAGTTCTATAATTCTGTAATAACACAGGAAAGATTTTGAATATCCTGTTTGCTGTATAAAGCGATAAACCATAATGAGAATGAGGCAAACAAATTAGTACAAACATTACTGTTTACTTTTGCATTCTTGCATTGAATTACTACATCTTTTCACAGGCCACAGTAAACCTATGAATGTCTTTATCACTTTTAACTCTTGGGAGTACTTCTGGTTTTTGGCTACTGTGCAGTCTAGGGTTGGATTTGATTTGTTGAATTGGAGAGAAACATGTTTAGATGAAATTTCCTGGATTAAATATAAGATTAATGAAAAAGTAGCATCTGGTCTTTGCAGCGGATTATTGAATGACCTAAGGTATATACAAGTTACATCAATTAGCCAATATGATGTACTTGATCTGAGCTCTAATTCCTCCCCCCCCCCCCCCCNTGGTGAAGTCGTGCAACTCTGAAACCGTCACCGTGGCAGGCTTCCCCCCCCCACACACACACCACACACACACCAATATGGGAAAAATCTTTGACCCTCTTATGAATTATAATGTTCTAAATTAAGAATAATACATCCCTGTGCCTTCAAAATGGGCTGAAAAAGAGCAGTCCGGTGCACTAAGTTTTCGCTATGCGCAAGGTTCGGAGAATGGCCGAATTACAAGAGTCTACTTTACGTAACCTTATTCTGCATTTTTGCAAGAAGCTGTTTTCACGGCTTGAACCCCTGACCTCCTGGTCACACGGTAATAACTTTCTTTTTTTAAACTTTCAAATGCCTCCTCCTAAATCAAAACAATAAAAATGACCTTTCTTTTTTACAAACTTGGTGCCAATTTTCAGTCAACAACAGTCATAAGATGGGAAATGCAGTTCTGTGCCAGCTTGGTGTGCTCACTGTCCCTTTGCACGTGCTTGAGAAAAGAATATTTTTTCTATTTTTTTATGGGAATAAAGTTTCTAGGCTTTAACCACAGTCACATAGCACTCAAAATAGAACAGTACAGTAAAAATTTTATTAGACGATCTTATCAACGTCTCTCTAACTTAACCAAATGTCTATTTACCCAAAAAAACGTTGAGCCAAACACTGTCTTTCACTTTTTCCCAAATATTCGTTTTCGGAAAATGGCTTCTCACCATCACTACCACCACCACCCCACGGTGGCCGCCACCAACCCCACCCCTATCTCCGCCGTCTGTTACTGCTATTCTTGTTACCCCACCCCATCCCCGTACCCTCATCCTCCACCAACAAATCCACCACACTCCACTCCCCCTTATACCCACTACCCCACTCCACAGACTCACTTCTGTGCTTCCCATCTAACCTCACCCCCACCACCCTACAACCCTCCTACCCAGTGTCAATGCCAACCCCTTAACCAAAATCATCAATATTTTCAAGAAGTCGATCATCGAGTCAACAAAATACCAGAACAGCAAACTCAACGCATTGTTACATCTCTTCTCCGTCGGATCGCCGCCTTAGAATCTTCCCTCCGCCGCAGCTCTTCTATTTCTCCTCGTTCTCGTCAGTCCCTACGCGATGCTGCAGCGCGTACTATTCAAACGCACTTCAGAGCCTTCCTTGCTCGTAGATCGAGAACCCTCCGGCAGCTAAAACAGCTGGCTTCCATCAAAACAACTCTCAATATTCTCAAATCGTCAGTTTCTGGTAAACCCCATTTTGATACTCAAGCTGTTTCTCACAGAGCTATGGATTTACTTGTTAAACTTGATTCTATTCAGGTAATTAATTATGCTCTAATTGCAATTTTGCACATTTGATTTATACACTTATCACAATCCTATGTGAATAGCTTCTGGTGGAATCACTACCCTCTGGACGAAAAACTATAATGTGTATACAGGTCAAATCTTAATTTTTAGTACATATATATATATTAAATCTTAAATACCTTATGGAAATTCCTGGATTCGTGACTGAATACCTCAAAAGTGTTGAAAAAGGGGTTCTTTCTTGCAGGGGGATGATCAATTAATTAGAGATGGTAAAAGGTCGATAAACAACGAACTGACTAGATTTATGAAGGTAATTAATGGGGTTTCGGTATTTTCAAGTAGAGTAGTGAAGAATGTGAGGAGTGGCAACAAATCTAGGGTTTTTAACAGTGACCGTGAAGTGGAACTTGGCACAAATCTTAACGAAGCCATCGATAAGTTTGTTGCTACGGTAAATGAATCTGAAGAGGAAGAGGAAGAGGAGGAGCACCTAAAAAATCCTAGAGTTTCTGAAGCTAGAAAATCTGGGGTTTTAAGACGAAATAGGGATGAAGGTGGGCTTAAACCAAAACAAAAGAAATCTGTGAGCTTTGCAGAAAATGTTGATGGGCAAGAATCATTTGATGCTGATGAGATAGAGCTGATGAAAAACCTTAGCAGAAGAGTTGAAAAAATTGGAGCTTTATCCAAGGATGACGCTGAAGTTGATGAGGAAGAAGATGGAGGCCGGTATAGTGGAAGTAGTGATAATGAAATAATGGATCCAAATTACTACATTTCAAGAAAAGATGATGGTTATAATGAAAGGAATGTGAGAGATGAGGATGAGAATGAAACTGAGAGTTTCTTGTTCTCAGCACCATTGCCTGTGAAGATGGAAGCTAGAGCTGCAGCTGATTATATCAACAACAGGAAAAAGGGTGTCAAGATAGTTGACAATTGAATAGTAAGTCCCCAACAAGATGTCAAGATTTGAACTTTGGTGAGCTTGACAATTAGGTGGAAGTTTGAGCTTCTGCAATTCTTGGGAATTATTTGTAACTGTTAGTGATGATAGTGATCTTGATGACTACTGTTAGGTTTGATTATGGAAAGTTCATGTGTGTTGGAGTTTTGGATTTTGGCTGTTTTCTTCTCTGCCATTGTGGTAGGAATGGGAGATCTTTTGGATGTAATATGGCCTTGTTCTGTATGTCTTAATGATGATTGTTGAAGAGTTTAGAAGTCACATTTTGTTCAAAGATGAATCAACAGGTGGCTATTTCCTGTGGAGTTGTTTTAACTTTTAAAAAGGTTCTTTCTCCCTGATTGTTGCTGAATTCAATGGTCAATTTGGACGATCAGTAGTAGTGGACAGTGTCATTGTAACTGTAACTTATAAAGAAAAATCAAACCTCTTATAGTCAAAGCCTCCCTAATTTCATTCCAAACTGAAGGAAAAAATCCATTCCAATCTTGTCTTCCTGAAAGCTAAAGTACATTTTATGCCTGTCTTTTGTTGTGAAAAGAATGTTGAGGATGCATATTCAAGTGTGGTCAACTTATTAACAAAGCCTAAACACTTACAGGTGATCAGCTCAAGATAAGTCAAAAGGTTTATAAGAGAGTCGAAGAGCCTAAACCCTCACAAATCTATATATATATATAAGGTAGGGAATGGAAAAGTTGATGTGGCACATCTCTTTGGCTTGAATAGCCATTTATCTTTTTTCACAATTTTTTGAGATTTCTTTCCTATTTTAACCATTACTTCAATAATAATTAACTAAGAAAAAACGAATCGTTTACGTTGAAAAAGCACCATCTCACTTATAAAAGAAGTCTAACAGTATCTTCTTCCATCTTGATAATGGAGAAGCCGTTAAGTTTACCTCCTTTTACATGTTTTGATCTTATTTTTTTCTCTTTCTCACCTTAAAGTTTATCCTTTCTTTCCGTTTTGCTGAATAATACATCATTATGATCCATAAATGTAATTTCTGGTTATTATTTCCATTCGTTCCGTTTTACAGAAGTATTTAATGTACATTATTATGATTCATGAATGGTAGTACCCTTTATATATTACTGTATTCCATGGGCTTTGGAAATCAAGTAAATGGAAAAATATTCATAGGTCCGTGAAGCAAATTATTGAGTGAAGAGCAAAGATATCTTATTTTCCGATTCTCCAACTATCATTTCTCGAGAGAGAGATATAGAAACATACAACAATTACCATCCAATCTCCCTATTGCCTTTTTTTTTCTTTTAAATCGGTAGAAATTTATTGTTGCTCTCTTTTATATATTTCTCTAATTTAGTGGATGTAATTTTATTTACCCAATTTTATTTTTTGGTGATTCATTGATGTATTATTTTTGGCTGATTATTATGGTTTTTAACTGGTATTGCTATCTTCTTTCTTTGGGACCTAGAAGCGTAACTTCTTATTTTGATCTCAATAGTATGAGTTTTGTTAATGTGAAAGCAGGTTTGTCAAGGTATTGCAATTTCTTTGTCATTTGTTGTGTAAGCATATTTGCTAATTAGTTGGTAATATTAAGGACTATATCAATAATAGTAAGTTTAGATTTATTTTAACATAAGCTTTGTCAGATAATTTACATATTTTTGGTGTCCTTATCTTATAGAGGGGCTGAACAAGTCTACCTCCCTTTACAAAAATTGTGAAATTCAGTGGCAGGATACTTTATTCCGATATCTCCCCCCGAAAAATGAATTAAATGATATTTTGTTTTATTTTATATGTTTTTTATCTCGTTATTTTGTACAATTCAAAATTGTAGTAGATGAAATAACGCAAAGTTATAGTATAGAATTCAATAATTATATATCTTCTTTCTTTCTATAAATTGGTTGTGTCTCTTTACTCGAACTTACTCCATTGTCTTTGTTATCTTTTGGATTAGCTGTACAGAAGGAGAGGAAAGAAAAAAATGAAGAGGAAAAGATTAAAATAAATGCAATACCAAAGTAGGATAGAAAAGAGGGTAAAGGAGGATAAAGAGGAAGTCGGCAATAGGGTTCATTTAGATGATAGAGGGAGATTAATGAATAGAAAAAGTTAGAAAAAGAAGAATAATGAAAGAAAAATAATGTAAAAAAGGAGAGCGAACACAAAAACTTATTTCCCCGCTATTTTGGTTTATTTTTACTTTGTTTCTTTTAATTTTAATTGAATAGAAGAAAGTTCATCAAATAAAAAATTTACTATCTAATGATAGCAACAACAAAAAAAGTTCTTAGATACATATATTTCAATTATATTAGAGTAAGGTGTATAAATCTCCCCATACACACAAAATGTATGAAAATATATCGTTCATTTAAGATCTAATTCTACTAAGAGTATCCATATATTGATTTTATCTGTATGTAAACTTAATTTTCTTATTCAAATAGTTGAAAATTTTATTTCATCTGACTAAATATATATAATTTCTAAGTTTAATGATGTTTTATCATAACCGCGCGAAGCGCGGCAAATTCCCTAGTTTAATAATAATGCTAATATGCGAAATCTACGTCCATTGGATAACCAAAAAATACTTCCCATTATTTCTCATATTTTACTTATCAATGATCAAATAATATGAACTTTGACAAATGTTTCGACCTAAAACTTTTTTGGTAAGTTGCAGCAACAATAACAACAGACCCAGTATATTTCCAATAGTGTGGGGTATGAGGAGGGTAGTCTGTATGCAGACCTTACCTCTACCTAATGAAGATTGAGAGACTATTTCCAATAGACCCTCGGCTCGGAAAGGGTGAGAAGAAGAAGGAGGAGGAAGAGAAAAGCAAGAAAGGAAGAGAGAAGAAAAAAAGGGAGCTAAAGGATAAGTAGTACCAACTAATAACAACAGAGAACACAATACCTGAGGCGAACAAAACCACATAACGCTATAAAGATCTAAGAATATGAAGGGACATGCGTGTTACTAAGACTAACAGTTTTCAACTTCCTACTAACCTTCTACCATAATCCTCGATCTTTTAACCCTCTTATCAAAAGTCATGTCCTTAGTGAGATGAAACAGTGTCATGTCCTGCCTGTTCACCCCTCCCCCGTGCTTCTTAGGCCTACCTCGACCTCTTCTCAAACTCGCCATGGCCAACCTCTCACACCTCCTAACGGGAGCATCAATGCTTCTCCCCTTAATGTGTTTGAACCATCTCAACCTCAACTATATTGGATTTTATTTTGAAAGAAGGAGTTAATTTATGTCATTTATGTTAAATTGGTTATGAGCTACTAGTTTAACCGACGAGCTGACCTACCATAAACCGAAGATTAAACCAAAACAAGAAAAGAGGTCATAGAAACTGAGGAATTAGCCAGACAGCGCCAGTAGCCGAGACAATGGTGAATTGCTCGTAGCGCAGAAAGAGTACCTTTTCTAATTCATGAATGGCCCATCTAAGCCACTGTCCAAGAAATTGACGAACCTTAAACGAGTCGTTGAAACAACTGCCACAGCAGCAGAGCAATGCAAGTCTCTCCTAGACCATTGCGCCAAAACCAAATCTTTAAGAAGCACCAAAGGAGTCCATGGCTATACCATTACCCTCGGCCTCCTTCAATCCCTCAGCTCCACCCATTTGCTTTCTCTGCTGACAGCAGCATATGCAATCTGTGGTCACACTTCGTACGCTCGTAAAGTGTTCGATGAATTGCCTCAACGAACCTTACTGGCATACAGGTCCATGATTAGGATGTACACCGAGAAGGGGTTGCCTAACGTTGCGCTCAAACTCTTTGGGGAAATGCTGCGATCTGATAAACACAAGCCTGACAGACATACTTTTCCGTATGTGATTAGGGCATGCAGTGACTTGTTCTTACTTCAGCAGGGTGTTGTTATTCATGGGTTGACTGTTATAAGTGGGTTTATGTGGGACACTTTTGTGGGAAATTCACTTTTGACCATGTATATGAGTTGTGGAGATAAGAAGGGCGCTAGGAGGGTCTTTGATGCAATGCAGGCTCGAACCATTGTGACCTGGAACACTATGATCAGTGGGTATTGCCGAAATGATAGTCCCAAGGAGGCCCTAATGACTTTCAAGAGAATGGAAGATGCTGGTGTTGACGCTGATTGTGCCACTGTGCTTTCCCTATTGCCTGCGTGTGGGCGTCTGAAGGATTTTGAGATGGGTAGAGAGGTTCACTCACTGGTCGAAGAATTAAGTTTTTGGGACAATTTGTCTGTTAGGAATGCTGTCGTTGATATGTACGTTAAGTGCAGTAGAATGGATGAGGCAAGGTTGGTTTTTGAGAAGATGATTGATAGAGACGTGGTGACTTGGACTACAATGATCCATGGGTTCATTTCAGATGGTGACATAAAAAATGCGCTGTGGTTTTCTCAAAGGATGCAGCTTGAAGGTGTAAAGCCGAATGCGGTAACTCTGTCATCACTTCTTGCTGCATGCGCCAGTTTGCCTCATTTGAGGCTTGGTAAATGCTTGCATGCTTGGGCTATAAGGCAGGACCTTCAGTCTGATGTTAATGTAGAAACTGGCCTTATTGACATGTATGCTAAATGCAATTGTTTTAGACTTGGCTATCAGGTGTTTGCAAAGACTAGCAAGAAGAGGACTGTCCCATGGAATGCAATTTTGTCTGGGTGCCTTCATAATGAGCTTGCAAGAGAAGCGATAGAGCTTTTCAAGCTAATGTTATCAGAAGCTGTCAAACCAAATGATGCAACCCTGAAAAGTGTACTTCCTGCATTTGCAATTGAAGCTGATCTCAGGCAAGCGTTGAGCATACACAGCTATCTTGTAAGATCCGGATTTGTTACAAGAACTGAGGTAGCTACTGGTTTAGTTGATATATACTCAAAATGTGGAAACTTAGATAATAGTCACAAGATCTTCAATGGGATACCCAAGAAAGAAAGAGACATAATTTTGTGGAGTACGTTAATAGCTGGTTATGGGATGCATGGGCACGGCGAGACGTCTCTGTCACTGTTTAATCAGATGGTGCAATCTGGGATCAAACCTAACGAAGTCACTTTCACCTCGGTTTTGCATGCTTGTGCTCATGCTGGTTTGGTGGATGACGGTCTTTGTTTGTTTAATTTCATGCTTAGAAATCACTCTGATAGTCTTAGAACAGATCATTATACCTGTATGGTTGATCTTCTAGGTCGAGCCGGACGACTTGAGGAAGCATATGAACTTATAAAAACTATGATTCTCGAACCAAGTCATGCCATCTGGGGTGCACTGCTAGGTGCCTGTGTGATACATGAAAATGTGGAACTGGGAGAATTGGCTGCAAGGTGGCTATTTAAGCTGGAGCCAGAGAACACAGGAAATTATGTACTGTTGGGAAAGATCTATTCTGCAGTTGGAAGATGGAAAGATGCAGAGAATGTGAGAGTTTTGATGGAT